CAACGCCCCCTCTAGGGATGGAAGTGCCTGCCTGCCTGCCTGCCTCATATCCTATAGATTTTGGTCTGCCTTTTTCTTTGCTCACGAAGATGCACCTGATTAGTTTGTTTCACCTGTTTGATAAATAGTATTCTTCACAATGTAATTTTATTTCTAAGGTGTCTACTCAACGAATTGCTTGTGAGTGTGTGTTCTCAGAAATTGTGCAGAATAAACTCCTAATTAAATCCTTGGATATATATATATATACATATATATATATATATATATATATAATTCGTAGAGTTGCAAACACTTTCAATTGCAACTGTGGTGATCAGGACATTCTGTGTTGCTTGGACAACCAAGCTGAGACGGCGATGCCACCACCTACTTGTATCTGTACATGCCCTCCGGTGATTATTTCTGTGAGTGCCTAAATATATATCCTCTGCTCTTCAAATGGTAGGGTTTGAGGTTTTCATCCCCCCCTTCCAGTTCTTGTGCTTGGCACCTTCAATTCCCCTTTCCCCTGCTCGAAGGAATTGGCGCCTCCGTTAGTGACCCCGAGTAGTGATGCAAGGATGTATTGTTTGATCTTCTCCAAAGATTTTCAAATAGTTATACTTTGATTCAAAGCTCATTGTGTTTTACTGTATATGCAGTTTTGTTCTTATGAATTTCTCCGAGTAGGTAGATCCTTTAGGGTTACTAACTTACTGTGAACAAATGTTTTCTCTTGTAACTACTTGTTGGTACTCCCTCCATTTCTTTTTAGTCTGCATATAAGGTTTGGTCAAAGTCAAGCTTTGCATAGTTGACTAGCTTTATATTAAAAATATATCAACATTCACAATATGAAATCAACATTTTCAGATTCACCATCAAATGTATTTTCATATTATATAGTTTGAGTATTGTAGATGTTTATATGTTTTAATATAAATTTGGTCAAACTTTGTGTAGTTTGACTTTGACCAAAACTTATACGCGGAGTAAAAAGAAACGGAGGGAGTATGTGCCCTAAACTAGATCACTTATCACTTCTATATCTCTGAACTAAAATACACCCAAGTTCCTATTCCTGCTACCACATAATATGTATTGTTGCCTTGTGTTGTAATGGTTTTGTTGTCACACTTGTATAAGTAAAGTGGGCAGGATGAATGACCTTAAGCAAACCACTTCCTCCAAACTAAACTAAGGCTTGCCATATTTAGTAATCATGCATATACATGTACATTAGTTTCTATCAAACATACCTGTGCTCCTGTAGCATATCTTCAGGTTTCGGAATTTAAATGTCCTTTGTTTTGTGTACAAGGTGGTTAACTGAGATTTTGTTTGCTTATTTTACTGATTTTTTCGAGCAATGCCTATATACATGGTTTATGATGTTATTGGTGGTCTAAAGCTTTTATAGAAGCATTTGAGCGTTCTCGAGCTTAGGAGTTAGGAATTCAAGGAGCAGTAATAAAAAAATTCCGATCTGTGTTGAAGAATGATCCTTAATTTCATTAGCTATCTGATATCTTTTTGACGGTAGGTCTGGAGCTCGCATCGACTTTTATTTGTATTTGCTATTATGTTTGGCGGTCTGATTTCAATAAATGCACTGAGTTTAGAGCTCAAAATTTTTTGAACGTTTATATCATTCTTTTCAGCTGAGGAAGGGTTGTGGACGATGCCAGGAGCGAGCAGTGGCAAGTGTTTTCTCATTTCCAATCTGTTTAATGTTCAGTTCATAGGAATATCCTGGACCACCTTTGAAAAAACCACAGCCTTCACTACCCCAGCAAACCATGGGTAGTTCCTGACCTTTAAAACACATGATGAAACAAAGTATTGTAGATACAAAATATTGCCATGTTGAACTCCAGAGATACAAAATATGCTACATGCTTCTCCGAGAATTATGTAAATTTGTCATGTCATTGAAAACTACATAGGGTTCCACCATTGATTGTTACCTTCAGTCCAGATTTTTGTTCCACAAGTGTTTCTTCCAATATTGGGTTGTTTTGTGACATCTGACACATATTCTTTTTATTATATATTATGATAGATGTGCCATTAGGAATGGTGTCATCCATCAGGACCTTAAACTAGACAAGTTACACACAAATAAGAAGAGTTCTCTAAAGGCAATTGATTTTGGGCCATCTGTGTTCTTCAGGACTGCTATTCTCTGGAACATACCTTTGCACCTTATAATCTAGATCTGCTAAAATAAGCGATGTAGATCTTCCCATTTTTTCCTCTGATTTGTTTAGTAATTTCAAGCCTCTGAAGGCAAATGTGGAAACTCTTGTTAAATTATGTAAAATATACATTTTCTACTGCATTTTGCTTGATTTTCCATCCCTACATAATGGAGTTAACTTAATTGATACAATTTATTCAGAATATATATTAAGACATTTTTGCCCCAGAACCTAATGCTTATTCATCATCTATGAGAGCTTTGCTAAAACTGTAAGCAAACCATACTACATGGCCCGAGAGGATCACCTTACAAATTGCTTTGATGTTGTGCACAAACTGAACAGATATACAAGAGCATGAGCTCTTTGTCAGGGGCTACCTTTACTTGTGTGGCCTCTAGCTGAGGAGTCCTTTAGCCTTTAGGTACTACTCCCTCCGTTCGGAAATACTTGTCATCAAAATGAATAAAAGGGGATGTATTTAGATGTATTTTCGTTCTAGATACATCCCTTTTTATCTATTTTGATGACAAGTATTTTCGGACGGAGGGAGTACCTCCTTGCAGATTTCAACCAAGAACAAAACTCCATTCGTTTCTATCAGTAGGATATCATGTTTAATCTACATATCTTTTTATTCAGTGTATTCGTAGACCAGTTGCGAGTTATTACCTAGGAAAATAAACATTTTTCTATCTCAAATTTGCATATCAATGCCCTTGCCTAATTTAAGATTGATTTTCTTATGAAGATGAAGATTTGTGCTGCTATAACGTTCTTCAGTTTCTGGTGTTTTAGATGTCAGTTCATGATTGAGATAGTTCTGGTGTGTTGTCTAGCTGAAAAATTGTAATTTTTGTTTTCTGTTATTGCTGAAGATTCTTTGCGCCTGCTCCGTTGTTCTTCTACCGTGGAACGATGAGCCATCTGGCCGGGCTCATCGCCACCTCACATGTTATCGATGTTGTACCCACCCCACTCCCTTCCGCCTCAAGGCAAGGGTATGTACCTTACTTAATTAACCTAGCAAATATAGTGTTATCTGTAATTATGAGAATGGAACACCAACATACCTGGTCTTGTGGATAATTACTACTGTTATCCAGTGCTCCATAACCACAACTGTAGAATACACCGAACTGGCCAAAAGTGCTCCATAGCCACAACTGTAGAACACACCGGACTGACCAAAAGATGCCTACAACCAATAACTACAGATATGCTCTCCTAGACCATGGTTGTTACCTGAGCCAAAAATTCAAAATCACTGTCACCTCTTTTCTGAATCAGAAGACGGCTGACTGTCCGATACTACTAAAAAAGCATAGCCCGAAAAGCATGAATGAATGATGGATCTGAAATTGTACTTCATTACTGATGTACATAGCACAAAAATCATAGATGGTTAGGCTATCGAGATTTGGCACACAATACATAACTTAAAAAATTACATGGCAATCAAAACATTACGCAAGTCTATGAAGAACATCATTGAATCCTTTTCCTTTAATTAATTTGAAAAAATACCTTTGCTCTTGCAGCAGTCTTGCTCCTTCGACGCTTCAACAACAGTTCACTGTTTAGTTTACCAGCCGGCGGCAGCATCAGCGGTCCACTGCACGGCAGCATGCAGCGTGAGCGGAGAAGCAGTGAGAGAAGGAGAAGCACCAGCAGCCAACACCCGGCACCTGGCGTGGAGGCCTGGAGGGCCCTCACTGCAGAGGGCGGCGAGAGTTGGCAAGACCGGCGACCAGCGGTTGGCAGCAGTGAGAAGCGAGTGACAGACTGGTGGTCTGGTCAATTTGGGGGAATGGAGGAGAACAGATAAGGTTTGGTTTGGGAAAGAAGGAGAATTTTTTTTGGAGAACTGGGAAAGGATGAGGTGAGAGGAGCGTGCGTGGGAGTTAGTCGATGTATATGGGTCAGATGTATGTGGGCTGGGCCAAATGCTTATAGTACACTGGGGTCGTGGCACCCTTTTGGTCACTTATGCATGCAAGTTGATCAACTATCTAATAAAATCTTCTAAAACACTATCTAATAAAACAAACATCTTTCAGGGTCCAGTAGGTGTTCTATTGGCTATTCATTGATGCTCTGGTTTATTTGTTGTTACATGTACAAGCAATGCTTACTACTTCTCACTGATCATACATGATAAATAGCTTTTTCTGTTTTTCACTAATACACACAAGCTAATTAACCATCCAATTAAATGAGCTGTGTTTTCGAATTTAATAGGTCTTCTGTTTGTTTATGTTGTCCTCTATTTGATGTTCCAAACTCCTACCATGATCTCCTTATCTATTCATCACAGCCGAACCACCGTGTCGCAAGCACAATAGGCCATTTGAGTATCTTCATCGCCCACGCAAAGCAAGCTCAATCTGAAAGTTCAAAGACAAGAAAATCCATCTAAAGCCTGGAAAGTACATTCGCCCTGGTTAGGGCTATATTACTCTTCTCATTGCAACAGCTCTCGCAACAACTGCTAAACGATATAACTTGATACAATTTAACATAGGTGAGCCTTGCATCCACTACTTAGATGAGTTTAGTCGCCACATTGTGTGGGGCAACACAGTTAAGCTCTGCAAGCATAATGTTCATAGACTATGAAAGATCATGCGTAGCACCACCACGCCTAATCGCTACTATGTGTGCCACATGACCGAGACATTTGCAGCAGACGGCAAAAGAATGGTAATCTGTCCTATTTCATACAATAGCATGGTATAAAATGATATAGTAACTAACCTTTACTGTTATTTTCAGTACTTTAGCATTCCCTTTTCTACGGGTTCCCTTTTCTCATACATGGATGCTAACTGTGGTGAACTACCAATCACTACTAGAGACGGAACTACCGCTGTCACAACCCGCTTTATCAAGGGTGTTGACAAAAGGGCCACCATCACTAAAGGCCGGAGCGACTTCTTCCGTCAGGCACACATGAACAAAGGGCAAGCATATGCTTTCGCCTTCAAATGCACTTCCAAGGGACTGCGCCTGATCGTCTACTCAATATAAACAAGTTGCAAGAGCCCCTTGTTATATAACTTAATATTAGTATAAATGCATACCAAGACTTCTGTGTTTATCATCCTTTTGGGTCTTATGTAATCCCCTAAGACCATCATGTGCGTTGTTTGCTGCTTAGACTGTTGTGTGGTATGCTTTTGAAACAACCATGATAAAAGAAATATATGCTCACTCTTTCAATATTTGGCTTACACTCGGCCTTTGCGCCATTGGCGCAACGGGTCATTTGGGTAATGAACAATTTTTGGGACCACAAACAGTTTTTGAATATTTAAAAAACATTCGAAAATGAGATCCATTTTTTAAAAATGAACAATTTTGGAAGTGTGAACAGTTCTTTACAAGCACAAACATTTTTTGAATATTAAGAACAAACTTTGAAAATCGTAATCTTTTTAAAAAATCCATAATATTTTCATAAACGTGAACATTTTTTTAAGATATGAACATTGTATTAAATTTGAGAACTAATTTCAATAAACAATAACTATTTTTGAAAATCCAGGTCAATTTTTGAAAAGTCAGAACATTTATTGGTAAATCCATAAAAAAATTCTAAAAATCAAATACATTTTTCGAATTTGAGGAACAAATTTTAAAAATACCTAACATTTTTTGATAATATATATCAGTTTTATTTAAAAAGCAATAACACCTGCATAATTTGAAAAAAACATTATGAAATATCAAAAAATCAAGAACATTTATGTAAAAAGCAAAAAGATTTTTCAAATATCATGAACATTTTTTGAAAACTACAAACATATTTTTAGGAACATGGCGTATGACATTTATTTAAACAACATATATTTCTAATAATATCAAATTGGTTTTATTTTTTGCATACCAATAAGTTGTGTTACAAACATTTTTTAGTAGGAAATATAATAAAAAGGAAAATTGGTTTCTGATAATATTTATTTAAACAATTTTTTCTGCATACCAATAAGTTATGTTACATATAATTCTAATAATATCAAATTGGTTTAATATATACTACATATAATAATATGATGCATTAGGAAATATCATTTATATTTCATCATATATATTTCATCATGGTATACCTGTTTTTAATGCTGGGATGATTTTTTTGTAATTTTGTTTGTACCTCAAAAAATGATATTAAACAAAAAAATTGTAATTATTGATTTGTAATTAAACAAAATTCTATATATATAAACATGGTTCATGACAATAGATATTTTTATGCTTGTTACATATATTAAGGGTATCACAAAAAAAACATAGATGAAACAAATAAACTTTGTTAATGTTGGGTTATTTGTTTTAGTTTCTGTTTGTCAATTTTCCATAGCCTATCATTTAATTTAAAATAGTTTAAGCAACTTCAAACGCCTACTAACTTATATGAACATTATAGATTGTTGTTTTCCCCGAATTATTCTGTTTGTAAAATGATTTAAGCAGCATTTTTTTCTAATATAACCAAATGCTTTTCTTATTATCAGATAAACAGTTGTTTTAGTTTCAGATACAGTTCTATTATATATTATACATAGTTTTATGATGTAGTAAAAAATATTAAATATATTTTAGTATAGATATAAATTGATGGTTCCGACATACGCACTCATGCAATGATGACAGACCGCACTGAAACACCGCGAGAAAAGGTGCATATAACTAGCCTTACTCTGTATCTATATTATATACGATAAAACAAATGGTGTATTTATATTTTTGTTTTTTCAGAATATAGTATACATGGATATGGACTCTGGAGATGCACAGAAAAAATCCATTGAAGGTTCAGATGCAATGTCGCTGCAAGGGGCCGGAAAATCACAACATAATCACGTCGAAGAGGTTATATCTCATAATAAACCAAAAAGGATGCTAATTTACATGTTATCCCACAAGGTATTTTTTTATATTATTATCAACATTTTTTGTGATATTATCTTTTGTATTCAACTAATTTGGCTTTTATTGTTTACTAAGCTGGCTCACTTTTTTATGAATTTCATAGACTATGTTTGTACCCCTAGAGATATTACAGTCATCGAATCAATCAAGTCTGCCCTTAAGAATACCCAGTTTATGGACATTGGAGATGCCTTGTTAGCAATAGACGATTTGGAATGCCTTATTAAAAATGACATGTTCTTACATGACGGTGTAAGACCAATTGCACAATCTTTGTAATTAATTGATTATATATAATATCATAATTTATAAATATAATCTAAATATTATTTGCAGGTGATAAATGCTTACATATATTGCATGCTTGCTCACGAGCATCTACAAGACAGGGCGGGTGAAAAGGTACACATTATTAGCACGTCTGTATCGGGCCAGATAAAAGAAGACGGGGAAAGAGACATAGACCCATCAAAATATCGTCGCATCGTGTGTCATGTTAATAGTTATCTACAACAAGATATGGTTAGTTTTTGTCTCGTAATCCATGCATATAATTATGGATTGTTTTTATTTAGTTCATATGTTTAATGATTTATTAATAACTAAATATAATTGTGACTGTGACCTGTATCTTATTTACACCAGTTGTTCATTCCGATTGACATGCCGGGCTACCATTGGTATCTAGCAGTTGCCAACGCCAAAAAATGAGAGATCCAAGTATTGGACTCACTTGGTGAGAATGTCAAACGCAATGACCTTGCTACTACGGTAACTATTTATTTCTTTTCTCATCTTCCCATTTATTTTGTTTGACTTCATCCTTAACATTTCTCATATATATATATATATATATATATATATATATATATAAGTTATTAGGGCTCGAGAAATGGCTGAAACTTGCAGAGCATAGTCCGGAGTTTATCAAAGGTCATAAGTGGCCTGATCTCAATATTACAAAATGGACGGTTGTAGAGAAAATTCAGGAGGTAATACAAACCGATGGGTAAGCACTTGTTTCAATAGTTTGTTTTTAGATTCATCTGTGTGATATTCTAAAGCATTATTTTATAATATTATAGCATATCATGTGGATTGTTCATGCTAACTTATATGGAATACTGGACACCACATGGACTGTCAGACTAGTTTACGCAGGTATTTCAGTTTTATACATTATCTCATAATGTTTTATCAAAATATCTTATAAATTGTTTTTATATTTTTTTGTAGGAGGATATGAAACATTTTCGACAAAAAATAGCAATTATTTTGCTCGATTCAGAGCTTAATAAGTTAAAAGGACGTCCCATGTACCATCAACCTCTCAACAAAGAAACTTTAGCTAATTCTGATCTTGAGATCCTGGATAATCCATCTGACGTGGTCAAAGAGAAACGTCCCGCCCCAATCACTATCATTCTCACGGACCAACGTGAAATACTTGTTGGCCTCTGCAACTACATCATGTCGATCAATGATGCTGGATCTTTGGAGTAAGTATCATGTATCAATATTTAATGTGCGGATGTATATTATTGTTCTTCTTACCATCCAAATTACAGGAAAGTATGGGTCCGGAGCTCCACACCCGATCCAATGAGATTAAGTCTTAAGAAACTTCAGTGCATACTTAACATGGAGCAGCCCATGGACAATGATTGCTTCAACACCACCGTGCTTATGCTGGCATGTGACGAGGGAGTATTGTTCACAGACCCTCCTATACACTATATGGATCTATGATTTTGTGTAAGTTACCGTAACTCTTCATTCTAGGTGCCATTAGTATCAACATGTTGAAACAATATATTTTTTCTTTTACTTAGTCCATGCTGCTAGAGTCAACACGAGGTCAGAAGTTTTGTGAGAAGGAAACTATCCAGACGTTGGCAACATTATTTGATAGCTGGCCTGGGATGGAGACCGACATCTCATCTTGCAATAAGGTAAATAAAATATTTTGACCATTGTAATCATGGTTTGTTTTTGTTTCTAATAGCTCCACTTGTAGATTTATCTTCCCTATGCATCCATCGATCGATACATCCTGTACATCATCGACAAAGAGGCACGTCATCTATATATTATGGATCCTATTCAATCATCACAATCGTCAGAGGATAAAAACTTGAGGCATTCACTGAAATTAAAAAGTTTTTCAAGGGATTTCAAAGAAGCACTCGAAATAAAGCTGCCTGGGTGGAATTCTGATATATCTAAATGGCATCGTTTATTTCCGGCCGGTGTTCCAACGAGTATAGACGGGTAATGAATTCATAACAAGAATATTTATTTTTGTTATCATCATATTATTTATAATATTAATTGAAAGTTTTCCAGGAATATGTCTGGCTATTTTGTTTTTCATTTTATATTCTGGTGGAACGGTAAAGAATTGGTCAAGCCGGTTTGCGCGGTGAGTATTGTGGGTTACATGTTTTAAGACCTTCTCCGTGAATTTTTCATACAAACTACATTTGTTTTTTCTGCAGGATGGGTACGAATTGAGGAAGCATTTTTTATTATACTTGCTAAAACATCACGGGAATGAAGCTAGAGGAAACTTTCCTGATATTGTGAAAGAATTTCTTAAGCGCATCATCTAGATATTAATATTTTTGTAATAGATATTAAGTTGTAACATCACTCAGCTTGTGACATTGCAATAATGGACTTCAGTTTGTGTTATATTGTTTGTATGTGTGAATTTTAACATGTAACTCTGGTAAAATATTTCAAGAGCCCGTGGCAACGCACGGGCACTCTACTAGTATGGGTAGTACAAGAGTAGATCTACCACGAGATCGTAGAGGCTAAAACCCTAGGAGCTAGCCTATGATGGTATCTATCTATCTATCTATCTATACCTCTATACCTATACTAATTACAGACTCCCAAGTAATTACCATGTTAATCAGAAATTAGGAGCCGTTCATCTGGCGGGACCGAGTTATTACGATGGAGATTAACTCATGTTATTTTCGCTTAATTACGTGCTTAATTCGCAAAAAAAAACTAAAGGCCCACGTTCCTTTCACCGAGGAACCTGAAGGCCCACGTTCTTTCACAATGGTTGTACAAAAAAGAAGCCC